CTCAGTACCCCATGGCTGGACCCCTAGAGGTGTACCCTGGACAGCAAGTGTGGGGCTTTACAGATGGTTTGTAAGCACATGCATTTAACAGGCTTGACACTACATGATTGGGAGAAGGCACACAACTGAGCATTCCTAGGGAAAACAAATGAGAGACTCTCCATGCTTGGCCTGGCTTTGCAGTATCAATAGAAGGCATATCATCTTAGAAATACTCAAGAGAGGGCCGGGCGCGGTGGCTCAAGCCTGTAATCCCAGCACTTTGGGAGGCCGAGGCGGGTGGATCAAGAGATGGAGACCATCCTGGTCAACATGGTGAAACCCCGTCTCTACTAAAAATACAAAAAATTAGCTGGGCATGGTGGCGCGTGCCTGTAATACCAGCTACTCAGGAGGCTGAGGCAGGAGAATTGCCTGAACCCAGGAGGTGGAGGTTGCAGTGAGCCGAGATCGCGCCATTGCACTCCAGCCTGGGTAACAAGAGCGAAACTCCGTCTCAAAAAAAAAAAAAAAAAAGAAAAAGAAAAAAGAAATACTCAAGAGAGAATGAGAGGAGTGGAGTAGGTGCATCCATAGCAAAAGTCCAAGATAGCCTCAAAATCCCTAGCCTGGCTAACTGGTGAAGGTGTTTTCCTCCCAAAGCCAGTTACTAAAGACAGGAAGAAGTGACTGCTTCAAATAAATACAAAGACAGTAATGTAAGACTTCAAGCAATATGCAAACCAAGGAAGCATGACACCCTGAAAGGAACACAATGATTTTACAGCAACCAACCCCAAGGAAGTGGAGATCTAAAAATTTCCTGAAAAGGAATTCAAAATAATTGTTTTAAGGGAACACAGCAAGCTACAGCAGAACACAGACAACTCAACAAAAATTAGGAAAACAATACATCTCCTTAGCCAGGCGCGGTGGCTCAAGCCTGTAATCCCAGCACTTTGAGAGGCCGAGGTGGGTGGATCACGAGGTCAAGAGATCAAGACCATCCTTGTCAACATGGTGAAACCCCGTCTCTACTAACAATACAAAAAATTAGCTGGGCATGGTGGCGCGTGCCTGTAATCCCAGCTACTCAGGAGGCTGAGGCAGGAGAATTGCCTGAACTCAGGAAGCGGAGGTTGCGGTGAGCCGAGATCACGCCATTGCACTCCAGCCTGGGTAACAAGAGTGAAACTCCGTCTCAAAAAAAGAAAAAAAAAACAAAACAATACATCTCCTTAAAAAAGATGATATAACAAAGAGATATAAATTATTTTTTTTTAATTCTGAGCTGAAAATGCAATGAATGAAATGAAAAATGCAATATAGAGCTTAACAGCAGACCTGATCAGGCAGAAAAAAAGAATTTGCAAACTAGAATATAGATTATTAGAAGTTATCCAGTCAGAGGAAAAAAAATAAAAATAAACTAAAATACAAGGGATTTATGGGACACTATCAATAGAAATAATATACAGATTAGGTAAGCTGTAGAAGGAGAAGAAAGTTTATTTAAAGAAATAATGACTGAGTGGCCGGGTGTGGTGGCTCACGTCTGTAATCCTATCATTTTGGGAGGCCAAGGCAGGTGGATCACCTGAGGTCAGGAGTTCAAGACCAGCCTGATCAACATGGATAAACCCCATCTCTACTAAAAATACAAAATTAGCCGGGTGTGATGGTGCAGGCCTGTAATCCCAGCTACTCAGGAGACTGAGGCAGGAGAATCACTTGAACCTGGGAGGCAGAGGTCGTAGTGAGCCAAGATCACACCATTGCACTCCAGCCTGGGCAACAAGAGTGAAACTCCCCCTCAAAAAAAAAGAAGGAAAGAAAGAAAGAAAGAATGACTAAAAACATTCCAAATTTTGGGAGTGATATGGACATCTAGGTTTATAAGGCTAAAAAGTCCCCAAACAGATTCAATGTAAGATGACTTCACAGAGACATACTATAATCCAATTGTCAAAAATCAAAGTCAGAGGGGCTGAGAATGGTGGCTCATGCCTGTAATTCCAGCACTTTAGGAGGCCAAGGTGGGAGAATCATTGAGCCTAGGAGTTTGAGACCAGCCTGTGCAACACAGTGAGACCCTGCCCATACAAAAAATTTAAAATTAGCCAGGCATGGTGGCACCTACCTATAGTCCCAACTAATTGGGAGGCCGAGGTAAGAGGAACACTTTAGCCCAGAAGGTCAAGGCTGCAGTGAGCTCTGATTGTACCACTACACTCCAGCCTGGGTGAAGGAGACCCTGTCTCAAAAAGAAAAGAAAAGAAGAGAAAGAAGAATAAGGAGAAGGAGAAGTACTGGAGGAAGAGGAAGGGGAAGCAGCAGCAGACGAGGAGGAAGAAAGCATCAGAGGGAGAATTTTGAAAGCAAAAGCAAAGAAATTAATCAAATACACAGGAACCCCTATTGGACTATCAGCAGATTTCTCAGCAGAAACCTTGCAGGCCAGGAGAGAGTGGGATGAGATAGTCAAAGTGCTCAGAGAAATAAACTGCCAACCAAGAATACTTGACTCAGAAAAACATGTCCTTTAAACACGAAGAAGAGATAAAGAATTTCCCAGACAAACAAAAGCTGTGGGAGTTCATCACCATAATGTCTGCCTTACAAAAAATGCTAAAGGGAGTTCTTCAAGCTGAAATGAAAGTATGGTCATTAGTAACATAAAAACATGAAAGTATAAAATTTACCAGTAAAGGTAAGTATATAGTCAGAATACCCTAGTAGTTTAATGGTGGAGTACAAATCACCTTTAACTTTGGTACAAAGGTTAAAAGACAAGTGTATCAGAAATACCATAGCTAAAATAATTTGTTAATGGATGCACAATATAAAAAGAAGTGAATTGTGTCATCAAAAACTTAAAATGGCAGTTGGGGAGTAAAATTGTAGTTTTTGTATGCAATTGAATTCAAGTTGTTTTCAGCTTAAAATGCCCTAGTTTTGTGCAAGCATATGTGTGAGTGTGTGTGTGTGTGTGTGTGTGTGTGTGAGAGAGAGAGAGAGACAGAGAGAGAGAGAAAGAGAGAGTCTGGCTCTGTTGCCCAGGCTAGAGTGCAGTGGCATGGTCTTGGCTCACTGCAAACTCTGCCTCCCAGGCTCAAGCGATCTTCTCACCTCAGCCTCCCAAGTAGTTGGGACTATAGGCATGCACCATCATGTCCAGCTAATTTTTTTTTTTTTTTTTTTTGTAAAGACATGGTTTTGCCATGTTTCCCATGCTGGTCTTGAACTCCTGAGCTCAAGTGATCCTCCCTCCTTGGCCTCCCAAAGTGCTGAGATGATAGGCATGAGCCACTGTGCCCAGGCTGATATGATATACTTTGGATGTTTGTCTCCTCCAAATCTCATGTTGAAATTTGATCCTCAATTTTGGAGGTGGGGATCTCACAGGAGCACAGGCCAGGCATGGTGGCTCATGCCTATAATCCCAGTACTCCGGGAGGCTGATGTCGGAGGATCACTTGAGCCCCAGAGTTTGAGACCAGCCTGGGTAACACAGGGAGACTTCATCTCTACAAAAATAAATAAATAAATAAATAAAAATTAGGCAGGGGCCAGGCATGGTGGCTCATGCCTATAATCTCAGCACTTTGGGAGGCTGAGGCAGAGAGATCACTTGAGGTCAGGAATTCGAGACCAGCCTGGCCAACATGCTGAAACCCCATCTCTACTAAAAATACAAAAAATTAGCTGGGTGTGGTGGTGAGTGCCTATAGTCTCAGTTGCTCAGGAGGCTGAGACACAATTGCTTGAAGCAAGGAAGTGGAGGTTGCAGTGAGCTCAGATTTCGCCACTGAACTCTAGCCTGGGCAACAGGGTAAGACTCCAGCTCAAAAAAAAAAAAAAAAAAGCCAGGCATGGTAGTACATACGGGTTGTCCAGCTACTTGGGAGGCTGAGGCAGGATGATTACCTAAGCCCAGGAGTTACAGGCTGCAGTGAGCTGTGATCATGGCATTGCACTCCAGCCTAGGTGACAGAGAGACCCTGTCTCAACCTTCCCCCACCCCACAACCTCAGTTTAAAGTCCTCTTCTTGGCTGTGCAAAGTTGATTCAGTGATGCAGCCTCCCTGAGCTTTGATATTCTCACCTGCAAAATGGAGATGATAATCTTCTCAGTCAGTGAAGGGGAGGTGAGATGTGAGATAAGGGATGTAAAACACTGGTTTCAGGCCCTAGTCCCAGCAGATGCTCAACAATGGGATCTATCAATTCAGTGGCATGCTGGAACTGGCCCAGACAGGCCCATGGAAGCCATGAGAGGGAGACTACATCTCAGTAAATAAATAAATAAATAAGCAAACACTGCAAATTAGGAATCTTCTGAGCCCGATTTTTTGTTTTGTTTCGTTTTGTTTGAGATGGAGTCTTGTTCTGTCACTTAGGCTGGAGTGCAGTGGTGCCATCTCGGCTTACTGCAACCTCCACCTCCTAGGTTCAAGCAATTCTCCTGCATCAGCCTCCTGAGTAGCTGGGACTACAGGCGTGCACCACCACGCCTGGCTAATTTTTATATTTTTAGTAGAGACAGGATTTCACCATGTTGACCAGCCTGGTCTCGAACTACTGACCTCAGATGATTGGCCCTCCTCAGCCTCCCAAACTGCTTGAATTACAGGTGTCAGCCACCATGCTGGCCAGAGCCAGATGTTTGTTAAACACTTACTTACCAGACATATCGGGTTATCATCATTATCACTGAAAGTGATAACTCATTTGCTCTGGGCAGACACAATGCACATCCATTTGCCTATTTTTACTACTGTGACTGCTCATTTGAGTCAGAACCTGCCAATTCAACAAAATGGTTACTTGGTTTCCCCACCCCAGCCCCCATGTTCAGAGGCCATGAGCCTCACTGGGAGTTCTGTCTCACAGTCTTGCATGAGGGGACCCAACTCAGTCAAAATGCTTCACTGGACACATTTCTCAATGTCACCACTCACGTGCCCTTAGAAAAAGGAAGCCTGTCCCTTGCCTCCTCTAGGCAGTAGCTGTGTCAGCCGTTCCAGGGTGCACAGAAGTTTTCAAGAGTCGCCCTCATTGTGAGATGGTGAGTTTGTCATACATGAGCTGGTTTCTTACCTGGGTCTGTCTCTGCATGGGAGTCGGCGTCCTGTTGCTCTTCTTGACACCGAGGCTGCTACATCCAGTAATGCTCAGGGCAAACTCATCTGTGGGGACACCTCACCCACCCACACTGCCAAGTCTCCACCCTGGCCCCTGGCCCCTGCCAGGAACCCCTCCCACACCATGAGGGTCCTCTAGTGGGCCTTGTGGGAGTGACACAGGGCTGTGAGAAGACTCTGGCTTCTGGACAGCCTCGTCAGCTTCCCTGGAAAAGGAATGGTTGCCTAAAGATGATGCACAGGTCTCTCTCCTGTGGGCTGACAAGAAAGAGGAAGTGGTCAGGATGGGGCTCAAACTGTCTCTAGTGGTGGGTGAGGTCCTGTGAGTGAGGAATGCCTCTCACCAGCTGTGCCCGAGCCACAGCACTCCGGCCACTGCTGTCTCCGCAGCTGCTCACATCTGGAAACCTTCACAGTTCAGGTTAGCATCTTGGCTTTCCAAGGGAAAGCTTCCTGCTTTCTTCATGGCAGACATCTGCCAGTGCTGGCATCAGGGCATGTGTCCATGGGAGCCACTTCATGGGCACTGGGCTGGGGGATTGCAGCCTGGAGCCCTGGTATGACCGCTGGGTGGGGTTGGAGAAAAACTTGCATTAAAGAATCTGCTCTGCCGGTAACTGGCTGAGTGACCGGAGGCATCACTTCACCTCTCTGGGCCTTTTCCTCTCATGTATGTTGGGGCGATGAAGAAGTCTACCTCTCGGGTTGAAATGAGATAATGATTGGGAGTGAGCAATGCAAACTGTAATGAGTTATTCTCATTCTCTAGATGCTGAGAGTGTGTTTTCGGACTTGATGTGAGAAGGCTCTCATGGTGCTATGCTGGAGATAGGGGTGGGAGTGAAGCACTACTGTGTAAATTTATTTTTATTATTTAATTAATTTATTTATTTGAGATGGAGTCTCACTTTGTCACCTATGCTGGAGTGCAAGGGCTGAATCTCGGCTCACTGCAGCCTCTGCCTCCCGGGTTCAAGTGATTCTCCTGCCTCAACCTCTAGAATAGCTGGGACTACAGGCATGTGCCACCATACCTGGCTAATTTCTGTATTTTTAGTAAAGATGAAGTTTCACCATGTTGCCAGACTGGTCTCAAACTCCTGACCTCAGGTGATCCATCTGCCTCAGCCTCCCAAAGTGCTGGGATTACAGTGGTGTGAATTTAGACTATGTCTTAGGTCTCTTAGATGAAAGACATGGAACATCACCAGTCTTGTACCTTTGTCATTGCATCTCTGGCTTCCAGTGGTTCATTAGGCACCTTCCCTTCCAGAGGCCTCGAGATCAAAGTGTGTTGGCTGGCGTGAGTTCTTGGTGGAGCCATCTACTTTTGCCCTCTGGAAAATTATTTCAAGAAGAGATGTGGGTTTGGCTTTGCCATATCTACTCCCACTGCCCTAGGTATCCACTTGTCCTTGAGGTCTTGGCCATGAAGCAATGCAGAGCGCAGGCTTCACTCTGCTTCGATAATAAGTAACTACTGAGAGGCTTAAAGCAGGGAAGGGAAGGGACAGGCTCACACTGGTATTTGGCAGCCAGTGGGGAGCCAGATGGCAGCTGGGGACCAGCAAAAATGGAATGGTCCAGGTACAGACATGACAAGGACTTGGACGAAATTTGGAGGCTAACTGGCTGAAGTGGGGTGGGGATGGGGCCATAGGAGAAAGAGGAGTGAGGCAAGGTTTCCTGTCTTTCCCAGAAACGAAAGGATAGAGAGGGGGAGAAGAGGGGCTGGACTCCTTTTAATTACCCTGCCCTGCACTTCCCCATGCACACTTGGGTTTTAAGTTGCCAGTGACTATCCACATGGCCATTTCTGGTGCTGTCATCAGTGAGAATGATGAGTGGGGCCAGGCACAGTGTCTCACACCTGTAATCCCAGCACTTTGGGAGGCCAAGGCGGGTGGATCACTTGAGGTCAGGAGTTCTAGACCAGCCTGGCCAACATGGTGAAACCCCATCTCTACTAAAAAATACACAAAAATTAGCTGGGTATGGTGGTACATGCCTGTAATCCTAGCTACTCAGGAGGCTGAAGCAGGAGAATCGCTTGAACTGGGAGGTAGAGGTTGCAGTGAGCTGAGATTGCACCACTGCACTCTAGCCTGGGTGAGAGTGAGACTCCATCTCAAAAAAAAGAAGAAGGAGAAGAAGAAGAAGGACGAGTGGGAACAAGGGCTCACTAAACATGAATAGCAACAATCTGGAAACTAGAGGTGAACTGGGGCAAGAACTGCTCATGCCAACCAATCTAAATATTCTCTACAGCCTCTCAGACCCTTGAGATCTAGGCTAAGATCAGCTCGAACCCTCATTCCAGGCCTGCTGAAGTCCAAAGGGCCCCAGGACTTCTGTGGACTCCCTAGGAGGCCACCTCTTTTCCACAGTCAGCATGAGACTGCAGCCTCTGTGGGTAAAAGTGTTTATACTGCACTGACCCAGGGGTGAAACTACACACCTTTCTCAGTTCCCCAGACCACCAGAACAAATGTGCTCACAAAAGCACTGGCAGATGCAGCAGGCTTTGCTAAAGACTAAGGAGGGGACAGCCAGAGGGGTTTATAACACATCAGTGCAAACGGCTACACACAGAACATAAAATGTCTTTGCCACCCCATCTCTGAGTACTTTCTATCAGTTTCTTCTCCTGATACCAAACGAAGCCCATTCTGCTCACCACACAGTAAGCCAATCACTGAGATGACCAGTTTTGCAGCAGAGAATGGGTTTATTCATGAGGCAGCCAAGTGAGGAGGCGAGAAAACAGGTCTCAAACCCACTTCCTCAAAGATGGGATTTAGAGACATTGATGGGACAAAGCAGCAGGTGGCCTAAAGTGTGGGGAAGGTGATTGGAGGCAAGAAAAAGTAGGAAATCAGCAATCAGTGCAAGCCTAGTCAAGCCTCATGGTTTCTTCATAGGATGCAAGTTCACAAAATGGTGGCACTAGCAGGATCGAGGATGGAGTTCGTGGTGCTCTGACATCAAAGGTTACCTACTGGTTACCTACACAGACCAAGGTGAAGGATTGAACTGGATAATAGCTAACCCCAAGTTCCTGAAAAACATCTTTTTTTTTTTTTTTTTTTTTTTTTTTCGGAGACAGAGTTTCACTCTTGTCACCCAGGCTGGAGTGCAATGGCACAATCTCAGCTCACTGCAACCTCTGCCTCCCAAGTTCAAACAATTCTCCTGCCTCAGCCTCCTGAGTAGCTGGGATTACAGGTGCCTGCCATGATACCCAGCTAATTTTGTATTTTTAGTAGAGATAGGACTTCACCATGTTGGCCAGGCTGGTCTCAAACTCCAGACCTCAGGTGATCCGCCTGCCTTGGCCTCCCAAAATGCTGGGATTACAGGTGTGAGCCACCATGCCTGGCCCCTGAAAAACAACTTAACCATTACTATGATGACCTATACATCAGAGATGTTATCTGTAAAGAAGCCAGTGGAAGTCCAGTTAAATATTGCTTAGCTACATGACTTTTAGCTATACAGGTTTTGTTTTGTTTTGTTTTGTTTTGTTTTGTTTTGTTTTAAGACAGGGTCTCACTCTATATCCCAGGCTAGAGTGCATTGGTGGTGATCACAGCTCACTGCAGCCTCAACCTCCTAGAGTCAAGCCATCCTCCCACCTCAGCCTCCTAAGCATCTGGGACTACAGGCACATGCTGCCACGTATAGCTTTTTTTTTTTTCTTTTTCTCTTTTGAGTTGGAGTTTTGCTCTTGTTGCCCAGGCTGGAATGTAGTGGCACGATCTTGGCTCACTGAAACCTCTGCCCCCCAGGTTCAAGCGATTCTCCTGTCTCAGCCTCCCGAGTAGCTGAGATTACAGGTATGTGCCACCACGCCCGGCTAATTTTGTATTTTTAGTAGAGACAGGGTTTCTCCATGTTGGTCAGGCTGGTCTTGAACTCCTAACTTCAGGTGGTCCACCTGCCTCGGCCTCCCAAAGTGCTGGGATTACAGGCGTGAGCCACTGTGCCCGGCTTTTTTTTTTTTTTTTTTTTTTTTTTTTTTTTTTTCATTTTTAGTAGAGACAGGGTCTTGCCATGTTTCCTATGCTGGTCTTCAACTCCTGGGCTAAAGTAATCCTTCAGCCTCGACTTCCCAAAGTGCTAGGATTACAGGCATGAGCCATTGCCCCCAGCAGCTATATAGATTTTAAGATCAACTAGAAGCAAGTGACTAAAATCAGGTAAGGTAGGTTAAGTTCTGCAGGGCTAATCTAGCCCTCCGGTTCACTCCTACCTTTGCAACACCCTACTGGTTCCCCTTCTTCTCGTACTTCCATCCCTTCTTCTCATCTTTCCATCCCTTCTTCTCGTCCTTCCATCCCTTATTCTCATCGCCTTCTCTCCTAGAACTCCAAATTCTCCCCTTTTATAACCCAGAGGAATTCAACATTCCCCAGTTCCTAACAGCAAACTCATTCCTAGCCTAGCCAGCTTTGCAGATCTGAAGATGCTCTGCAGGGAGAATAGGGGATTCTCCTTGTCAGTGGCTGCCCTTCTTAGAGGACACTGGCAACTGTAAATAGAACTTTGTTGGTTTGCCCTTAATAATGCCTCATGCTTGGTGATATTTTGCACACAGAGCTGTTTTGTATGCATCATCTCTTGGAAGCTTTTCAGAGGACTGCAAGGAAGTAGATGAGATGTTAAGGGTCTTGTTCCAAGTGCAACAGCTAGTGCCCAGCCAAGTGGGAACAAACAGGAAACCTACTACCCCTGGCCAGGTGCAGTGGCTCATGCCTGTAATCTCAGCACTTTGGGAAGCTGGGGCGGAGGATCACTTGGGGCCAGGAGTTTGAGAACAGCCTAAGCAACATTTTTTTGTCTCTCCAACATTTTTTTGCCTCTACAAAAAGAGAAAAGAAAAAAAACTTGTTCCCTTGATAGCCAGCCTAGGGGCCCTTCAATG